TGCAGCTGCTCTGAGGAGAAGTCCCCGAGGGCAGTGCTGGCAGCCTGGAGCTTGGCTGGGCGGGCAGTTGGGGGTGGGGGCACGATGCCCAGCTCCGGGGTCTTCCTGCCCTGGGGCCGGGGGATGGTGATGCTGCCCAGAGTAGGGGTGGGCATCTCTTCCTTGTCGCTGGGATTCAGGATGCCATTCCGGTTCTGGGGCCTGCAGGGCAGGGCCGGGGAGTTCCAGAGCATGGCTGAGGGCTTCTCAGGAGAGGTGGCCAGGGGCTTGCTGGGGATGGCCATGTCGTCCTGGCCCAGGCTCCAGAGCTTGTTGTACGGGTGGGCGAGCTTCAAGGCCCCCGGAATCCCGCGGCTCCTCTCACCCCTGCCTAGGTCCAGCCTCTGTTGGAGGGAACAAGGGAGGCAATGACCACAGGCTGACCTGGGACAGACTGGAGGCAGCACATGCCCGTTCCCTCACCCCTCTTGTATGCCAGCCAGGCAGACAAGGGGACCATGGTCCCAGGAGTGTGGCTGAGCAGCTCCCTGGGACCCACAGCAGTTGGGTCCTTGGCCCAAGTCAGCGGCACAAAGCAAGCCCAGGTCTTTTCTCACCATGTGGCACAAAGGGACCCCAGGGAAAGCCCTTGTCTTTTCACACCAAGTTGCCAAGTAGTTTGAGGCAAACGGCTTCATCTACTGACTGTCTACTGGCCGGACCCTTTTTACTTTTCAAAGCTTGTGGGCACTTTCAACCACCAATGAGCCCAAGAGGGCAAATGAGGCTTGGATCTTGGGCAAAGGCACCCTGGAAGGAAACAGGACTGGGCTCAAGTCCCAGCTCGGCCACTTATAGGGCCCACAATCTGGGCTTCACGTCCCTTCTCTTGGCTGGAGCTCCTGCATTGGCAGTGTGGGAAAAGCAGTTCCCTGCAGAGGGGCATGCGTGTATCATTGCCTGTGTGGGAAATCTGTGAATTCCACTGTGTGGCCCAGTGACTGCAGAGTTGGCAGCCCCCACTCACAAGTGAGGAAACTGAGGCACAGAGAGGAGATGTGATAGAAAGTCACGGTGGAAGATCAGGGGTCACACGTGAATATCCAGAACCCAGGAACTTTGTTCCACAAGCTCTCCACAGAGATCCCAGTTCCACCAGTGGTCACAGTCCTGCCTGGGGGTTGGGCTGGGGGGTCTTGGGGAGAGGGAGGCAAAGCACCAGCCCACCTCTGATGCACAAATGGAAGTGGAGGGGGCAGATTTCCATCAGGCTCCAGCATCTCCTCCAGTGACCACTATGAGGATGGTCTGGCCACTGGCTGGCCCAGCAGGGTTTGCAGTCAGAGTGACCCCAAGCATTGGCTGAGGACCTGGAAAAGTCACTGTTTCTCCCTTGGTGTCTTTCACTGTCACATGGGGGAACCTGCTTCATGGGCAGAAAATGCCCCTGCCATGTACCCACCCCGCCCCACCATACCTGATAGTCAAAGGTCCCTGGCTGCTCTCTTAGGTCTTTGGGGGTCCGAAGGTCCTCCAAGCTTTTGGCCTGGCCCAGCGGCTGCAGTGGGACCTCCATATCGAGACCGCTGAAGACATCTTCCAGGAGGTCAATGCTGGCAGCCCTGTCAGGCGGCACGGGGGCCGGGCCCAGGGGCTCCCGTGTGCGCTGCTCTGGACTCTCCGCCTCGTCTCCTGCACTGTCTGACTCCTTGAGTGTCCGATATGGCTGTGGCCTGCGAGGAGGCAGAGCAGGCTGGATTCTCCCACTCAGAGCCGCCCTAGGAGGGGCAAGCAGCCCCCACCCCCAAGAACTTCCAGGCCTTGACGAGTACACCTACGAGTCTTGGGACAGGAGGGAGTCTTGGGACAGGAGAGTGTCCTGGGTCCCCATGAGGGCAGGCGTCTGGGCAACGGGAGTCTGACAGACTAGGGGCTGAGTTTGGGTTCTGCTCGCTGTGGGGCTGTGGGCAAGTTCCTTTGGCTCTATCTTGTTCTGGGGGGGCCCACTTAGTTTCCACCAAACCATAGGACCCACTGTAGAACTGGCTAGTGGGCGTGAAAGCCACTCACATAAGGCATGAAGAACGGGACGCGTCTGGAAAGGGAATAGGCAGGAAGACTCATTCCTGAGCCCACTGTCTGCACTCTCACCCCTGCAGCAGTCAGGTCCTGGGAACAGCTCATGGGGAATTGAGCTGGGAGAACTCTCCCCAGGGCAGCTGCCCAGCACACCCCAGGATCCTCGGGAGACCATCTGGGCCTTGGCCTGTGCTGTCCTTGGTTCCAGCTCTGGTGCCATCTCTTGCTGTAGGACCTTGGGCAAGTCACTTAACCTCTCTGAGCCTCAGCCGCTCTCCTATTCCAGAGTGCACCTCCCTTGCAGCTGTTGGTGGAGGTTTTACAAGCAAACACAGTGCCTGGTGTATAGCAGGTGTGCCAAGGCTGTTAACAGCATTCCATCCATTCATGCATCAAAACCTTGCAGCCAACCCAGGTGCAGGTGACACAGGGTGCCTCCTACTTTCCTTTCTCACAAGCTTAAGCCCAGGGGCACCACTGGGTACATGGAGAATGCTACCTGGACAAACCCTGACCTCTAGTGGAGCCAGGGCCAGAGCAGCGTACCACCTCCTCTAACAGCGAGGCTCTGGCTCCTGGATCAGGCAGGAACTGCCCAAGGTTCTTGTAAAGTGGGGGAAGGACGCCACCTGTTGGTCCCAAAGGCTCACTTGCAGGAGCCAGGGCAGAGGACAGTCAGCAGAGGGAGAGGACGCAACTAACAGTCTTGACTCTTGGCAAGGACTGCATCAGACTGGACTAACTCACTGAAGCCACACAAGCAGGCCATAAAGTAGGATTCACGCCCCCACCTGATAGATGGGGAAGCCGAAGCTCACAGAGGCTAAGTAACTCACCCTGTGTCACACAGCACCTGGCAAGAGGCAAAAATGGAAGCCAAGTATGAGAGACTTCTAAAGTTCCTCACTTGTTCTAACTAAGCCATCTGCCCAGGCCCCTTTAACCAAGTTTGAATGCAGTGAAGGAGATAAAGAAAAGTCAGTGAGCTTCTTACAGTTAAGGAAATAGTGTTCTTTAGAAAGAACTCATTTTGTTTGAGTTAAGAAGGCCATGTCCCTTTTAAACACAAACAGAAGCCTATACTTTTCATAGCTCATGGCTCAGGGAGTGAGCTTTATTTTAAATAATTAAGGCATCAATTAATTTAAAAAGAATGTGCCTTGCTGGACTCTGCAGCAGGGGAGTGCTTGGCCATCACCCACAAGGGATGCCTTTACCAGCAAGGTGATTATAAGTTGATACATGGACGAACATTTCTTATTCCAGTGATGCTATCTTTATTTTAATTAATAATAGGAATAATAACTGATACATTAAGCCTATGATATCAGATATTATTGCTGAGGACAAAGCTTTTCTTCTAGTTTTAAAGAAGATTCACTGTTCAGACCAGGTGGCATGTGAAGCTTGGGCAACACTGGCTTAGGCCACTGCTCTCTAAGTGAGGGCAACAGGAGGGGACTGACTTGCCTGTGGTCACAGGTGAACTGGTGGCAGCAAAGGCCAGAAACCTTCTCCCACTGTGGGAGCAGTGGCAGGAGCAGAGCTGGAAGGTTTACCAGGTGCCCCAAGGAAGCCACAGGCCAAGCCCAGGGGAGGGACTGGGAGCAGGGAGATGGTGAAGGGGACTGGGAGGGGGAAGGTGGGGGGAGATCCCTCTTCCGTGAACCAGCTGGAACGTTTCATTCCCCGAAGTGTTGCTGTGGGTGTTCAAAAAAGGACACTACCCTTCCCTTAAAAGCTTCCATTAAAAACACTACACAAACTCGTTAACAAATAAACATAGATCAAAGCTGTCCTTTGCTCAATCCCAGCTCTGGAAAGCTTGTGGTGGGGTGGGGGCAAGAACCAGCAAAGAAAGGGGAACCAGCAAAGCCTAATTCTGGGGGTGGCTGGATTGTGGTGAACCTTCTTTTTCTCTTTTTTTCTTTATTGCAATTTGTAATTAGAAGGAGGCTTAGATTATAAATAATAATGGTAAAAATTATCTTAAAGTCCGGCAGATCAGTAAAACCTTTGGATATGACAGAACTAATATATACGTTCCATATCAGTAACTTTTTTTTAAGTTAACATCTGACCCTCCATCTCCACGGCTTTCCAAGATGTGCTGAGATAAAGCAAGACTCGGGCAGCAACAACCAGGCTAACAGTAGCCACCAATTCCATTAACAATCAAGTGCATTTTCCCCGCAAGGCACGAGACCGATGCCCCCGTCTCACACCTTTAGAACTCAGTCACCGCTGTCACTTTACCCCATCATCACATCCCTGTGTGGCTGGCAGAATAAAAACCCTGAAAGGAGGCACACAGAGGTGGCATCTGCCCTGCAAGTTGGCACCGGGGCACCAGAAGGCAGCAGCTCCAGACACCTTTCCCCACACACAAGCGTAAGCAGCACTGGCCACCCCATCCCTCCAAGTGGTCCTGGAGAGTCACCAAGCTGAGCTCAGGGAAATGGAAGAAGAGAGAGACCATTCAAAGGGAGTGGAGAAGAAAAGGCTTTCGGTGAAGCCAGAGCTTGGGCCCGCTTCCCGCTGGCATTCATCGTCAGAGGAGTCTTCGGAGAGGAAGACAGCATAGTGTCGCAAGGGCTTTACGAGGCTGGGGTGGAGGAAGACAAGAGAGAAGAGAACAGTTAGGAGATATCTCAGGAATCCACGGGGCCGGGTGGGAAGGAGGCCTGGGGCTCAGCGCCTGGCCCGGGCCTCCCTCTGCCAGCCCGGACAGAGGCTCCCTGGAGAAGACCTATCGGGCCCCACGGTGAGGAAGCTGGTCCCAAACAGAAAAGAAACTGTGCGTTTGTCGCTGGTGTCAAGAACCTTAAATGCATCTAGGACTTCAGATTTCCACTTCCACTTAGATAACCCTAAATGTAGTGACAGATTATGCACAAAGATGTTTGTTACTGCTATGTTTATAATATTAAAACATGAGACAACCTAAATTTCCACAGTAGGAACCTGGTGAAGTGAATTATGGTACAGTTGGCTGAATATTATCCTCTCGTTAACTATAAAGTTCATAAAGAAAAATCTAAAAATCAGGACACAGAATTGCAATTATACCACATTCTTTCTCATCTGCTTACGGAAAAATGCACAGAAAAAAGACTGGAAAGGGATGTGTCTAAATGTCAACAAATGCTAGTGGATTATGGGTGATTCCCCCCCCATTTTATTTTTGTTTTCTTCTACATTTTCTCCAATGTGCATATCTACTTCAATAATCAGGAAAAAAAAAAAGTTAAAGGAGAAAGTGAGCCACGTGGAAGAGCACTCGCAAGAAGGCCCTTTTCTGATTAGCGGCTGCTCTCTGGGGTCTCCCTCAGATGCCTCTTCAGAGAGTCTTTTTCATCTGTGATGTGGAAATTAAATATTCATTGTTATAAAAAATATATCTCCCTTGTCAGCCACCTGTGAGCTCTACCTCTATAAACACAAACATATACACAGCCCAGAGAAACTCCACGCCTGCTCCTATGAATTATATACCGATCGGGGCCCGTGAGAGGTGTGTGCTCAGGAGAGGGGAGCTGGACCTCTGAAGACCTTGGTTCAAATTCTGGCCCCACGGCTGCTGTGGGCAGCCCACACCTCTGCCCTGTACAGCGGGCTGGGCGCGCCTGAGGATCCCCAGGGGCAATGGTGAAGTTTGGGGAGGTGGGTAGGAGACACAGGGTTACCTGATGGGGGGCTATTTCCTCTCCTCCCACCCCCTAGCCAGAGCTGTCTCCTTTCTTTGCCTTATATGATGCAATTCCTTTCAGGTTTTATTTCAGGAAGGGGAAACGTGTCCAAAAAAGTGCATGGGAACCAGGGCTGGAGGGTAAGCGAGGGCAGCAGCCGTCCCAGGGGACTGGGAGGGCGGATTGTGACCTGCTGCTGCTACAGTCCACCATCACCAGGGCTAAGCCAGTTGTTACCCAAGGATATGCTGTTCTTTTAAAAGTGGAACCAAAGCTGGCTCCCAGAGCTGTGCGTTCCCCAGCACTGGCACACCTGAACCCTTCAGTTCCTCACATTGTCCCTGGAAGTGAGCCAGGCAGAGTTTTGCCCTTGTATTGAAGGGGAGGTCAAGGCTCAGAGACGGGAAATCACTTGCCCAGGGTCACACAGGGAGGAGGTCACAGCACTCAGCTCCAAGGCTGCCTTGCCAGGTGTCAGGGACAAGACGTGTCTTGGCCCATCCTGGACTGGAGAGAGCATTTGCCTCTGGACTCAGGAGAGCGGGCAGGAAGATGATGTGATTTGCAGAAATGAGCCTGGCCAGCACGCTGCCAGGCCGCCCAGCTCCTGCCATGTCCACCGGGACATAGAACAAGGCCCAGCAGAAGGGCCACTCTGCACACAGACGCTGGAATTCTGCTCTGAATCACAGCCCCAACCTTGTCCCTCTGCTGCTTCACGCCGATAAACCTGCTACTCTGAACCATGATTTCGCCGCAACTGGCTGTGTGGTGAGCAACCCCACCAAGTAAAGTGTCAGCAATTCTAACGTTCAGGCGTTTGCAGGATGATTTACTTGCCTCGTTAAGTTAGGAGGACCCACTCTCACTCGGCAGCACTAGACTGTTCTCACGAGCAGGTTAGGGTGCAGGGGGGCAGTCACCCTGCCTCAGGCTCCATCCTGGGGAGCTTGTGGAACATTCTGGGGGGGCAGGGTGAGGGCTGCCCAGTCTGAGCTGCAAGCAGGCCAACCCCATGCTGCCCGCCTGGCCCCGCCCACCCCCGCCCTCCCCTCCCGACCACCTGCCTGTGTCGGGTGCACTGACTGCCCTTAGGCTGGAAGACTCTTAGGAAGCCTTCCTGGAGCTCCCAGCAGAGTTTTCTTTCTAGACAGAGTTCGCTTGTCCTTGGGCTGCGTGGTTTAGCCCTTCCCACATAGAGGGAACCTCCCGCAATTCTATTTGAGTAGAGGCCCTCAAGGGCAGGAGCCTGGCCGGTTCTCTCTTCCCGCACCAGAGCACAGCAGTAGCGCAGAGGAAGTTTGCAAGGGAATGAGCGGCAGCCCGCAGGCTGGGGAGACAAGGCACTGCCCACACCCGCTTCACTGCTCTTCCTGGACCCCCGCCAGGCACATGTCCCTTTCCTCAGCTCACGGCTGCAGTATGAGTGTCTCCCCTCTGAGCTCCCCATCTGTCTGCTGAGGTGCTGAGAGTGGGACCTGTAGCGCGGGACCACGTTTGGGGGAGGGGGTGTTAGGTATCTAGGGGCGGGTGGGAGTCTCAGAAGAATGTCTAATATAATGTCCACAAGTAGGCACTGTGTCGGTGACTTTACATAGGTTATTTCTACCCCTCCCAACAGGAAGCAGGAAGGTGTCACTGTATGGATTTTATAGAGGGTGAGGCTGTCATGAGTCCATCCATCTACTTGTCCGATCATCCACGTAGCAACCAAGAGGCAGCCCGGAAGGCCTGTAGTGAGCACAGCCAGTGTGAACTGAGTGCTGGGAATCACGGGTGAAGAGGAGAGGTGTGACCAAGCCACCTGGCCAGGCAGTGACGAGCAGGGATTCCAATTCCTCTTTCTCCTGTCCACTAGGCTGGCAGTAGATAAATATGAGGGAGACCCGCACCTCTACTTGGGTCAAACTGAATGAGTCTTTGGGTGGCCCTCAAATCCATCTTGAATGCTTTTCCACCACCCATTCAAGCACAGCTGGCTTTGACAAGAAAGCAGAGAGCACAGCTTGGCACAATAGCTGAATGCCACTAAACCTGCCAGGAACGTCTGGATTCACACGAGAGCAAAGAGCCTTTGTGCTGGACTGGCCCCTGGCTCCATCAGATCAGGCTGCTGCAGTTCCCATCACTGTCAAAATCCAGTGCCTCCACACGCAAGGTCACGGAGGGTGCCTGGGGGTGCGGTGGGGGAGAGAGGGAGCCTCCATTTCCAGCTCACCATTTCGCTCTCCAGCTGGCTCTCCTGGCCAGGCCAGGCCGGTTGGGCAGTAGCTTCAAGAAGAGGCCCAGTGTCTCTCACGAGTGATGGAGCACCCAGACGAGAACTCTCTGAGTGGCTTGGTCAGATCGGAGATTCTTCAGGTCCAGGCTGTGGGCCATGTGGAGGACGATGATGACACGAGCAGTACTTACAAGTGTTGGGCTGAATGCTGCCTGGACAGTTTCTCATTTATTACTTATCACATCCTCATTTTGTAGATAAAGCAGCCAAGGCTCAGAGAGGGGGAGTCATTTGCTTAGTGTCACACAGCAGCTAACGGTAGAGTTGGGAATCTGGATTTGTCTGACTCTAAAACCACTTTGTGATCCTGTCTCTTCAGTTCTGTGGCTCTGAAACAGTGAAATAAGGGGCAGGGTGTTTCCCCTTCTGTTTTTGATAAAAGGTGAGTTTTCAAAATAAACTTATTTAAATTCAACTGCTCATGTTCTGCCGTGAAACATACAGTCAGATAATTTGTCAGAGATAAAGGATGAACCGTTGAATACGTCCAGGTTTAAATTTTTTATTAGCTTAAGGCGGAATATGAAAAAAAAAAGTGTACCTCTTCCCTCATTAACCCAATTCAGCTACTACCCTGCAGTCTGCCACCCACCACTTGCCTGGATTTTATTACACACAAAGAGCTGTCTGTGAAAAGGCAGGTTGTGGCGAACTTGGCTACCCAGCGAGGTCTGCCAGAGTCTTGGCGAGAAAGAAAGGCCCGCTGTCCATCACGTTCAGACCCCGTCATCTCCCACGGCTGCTCCCGCCTCTGCCCACCTCATCTCGGCGCAGAGTTCCCATGCAGACGACTTCCTGAGCCCTTTCTAATGTTTGGTTTAACGTGTCGCCGGCTAGCGCGTGTGTGTGACAGTGGTGACAGGCGCGGCTGTTCCTTTTTAAAGACCATGTCAGAGCCACGGCGTCAGGAAGCGGGGACGTGCTCTGTGGCTCTCTGCCGGGCCAGGATCGCAGGGCTTATTTTTTAATGAGGAAGATCTGCATCTCGAGAGTTTTTTCATGTGTCACATCGCGTGGACAAATCAGCAGCACGTCATGCTGGCCCAAAATGAAATGCTGACAAATGTAGATATTTCAAATTTAATTGACATTTAAATGTACTTGAGATAAAGAAGGGAAAAAATCAGCAAGGACTTGGTCTCCAGAGGTAACGAGGGGAGCTGGTGATCATTTTTAAAGGATCATTTCACTCCAGCACAAAGGATCTTCACTGCTAAATGTCTTGGTGGCTCTGGCGTCCCTTGATTGCAAGGCTCCTGTGAGGCTGATGAGCAGGGACAGGCCCCAGGACGAGGCCCATCTGTTTAGCCTCCCACCATCCTCCATGGCCCAGACAGGTGACCTTGGGAAAGTCATTTTACCTCCCAGAACCTCAGTTTCTTATCTGTAAAATGGGGATTCTACCAGCCTCCTGTTAGTCTTATCACAAAAGCTGAATAAAAATATTCCTAAAGGGCTTTACATGGTGCCTAGCGCATGCTCAGTTACTATCCATGTGCCCTGTTCACCTGCCAACAAATAGATTCTGGGCACCTACACCCTGTGCGGGGTCTCCCCTAGGTGTTCAAGGGTGAATGGGGGTGGTCCCTGCCTTCAAAGACCTTCCCAGTCCACACTCATGCCCGGCGTGCTGAG